GAGGAGGAGGGGCTGGCCAGCCGGATCATCGCCCTGGGGCCTGCCGGCGCCCAGTTCCTCAGGTGAGCAAGGCTGGGAGCAGAGCAGATGGGGCTGCCCACACTAGGGCTGTCCCTCAGGGCTGGGGATGGATCCAGGCTCCTGTGGAGTTTCTCCCAGCTGGGGCAAGACCTCTGCTCGTCTCTGCTTCTGGTGGCCTGGTGCAGGAGAGATCCTGCCTCTGCCCAGGTGCAGCATGTTTCAAGGGTGGGTTATTCCAGGATAGGAGAGCAGTAGCTGTGCTGTGATAGGAAAAGCCCCAACCAGCACTGTCCTGCTGAGCGCAGAGCCCCGTTTCCCAGAGAAAGTGGTGCAAGCAGTCCTGCCTTCCTCCTCCAGTGGCTGTACAGCGTGGAGAAGCACTGCGCCCAGCGCCACCCTGCTGCCTGCATGGCCCGGCAACGGTGCATGGTTGTAAGCCCCCTTCCTCTGCTGTCTGCAGCCCCGTCATCGTGGAGATCCCACACTTTGCCTCGTATGGGCGTGGAGACCGTGAGCTGGTGGTGTTGCGCAACGAGAACGGCTCCGTCTGGAAGGAGCATCGCAACCGCTATGAGGAGGACTACATGGACCAGCTGCTCAATGGCATGGACGAGGGTGAGTGTGCCCGGCGGGGGGGACCTTGGCACCACGCAGCTGAGCCTGGGTGGTGGGATGGAGCTGAGCATGGCATGGTTGGTGCAGCTCAGGGCAGGTGGGTGGGTGACCACCACATGCTCGGTGTGTGAGCATTGATGGCTTTCTGCCCTTGCAGAGCTGGAGAGCCTGGAGGAGCTGGAGAAGAAGAGGGTCTGCCGCATCATCACCACGGACTTCCCTCTCTACTTCGTGGTCATGTCCCGGATTTGCCAGGACTGTGATATGATTGGCCCTGAGGGAGGATGTTTGAAAAGCACACTGGTGCCCATGGTACAGGCCACCTTCCCAGACACTGCTGTCACCAAGAAAGTGAGGCTGGCCCTGCAGGTGCGTCCTGGAGAAGCCTGGCCTGGGGCCCAGCTGGGCTCCTGCAGGCAGGGGAGGGCAGCAAGCCTTCCCAGCCTGGGGGAAGCCGGCCCTGATGCCCCTGCTTGTGCTGCCTGCAGGCGCAGCCTGTGCCCGACGAGCTGGTGACTAAGCTGCTAGGGAACCAGGCGACATTCAGCCCCATCGTCACAGTGGAGCCACGCCGGAGGAAGTTCCACCGGCCCATCGGCCTCCGCATCCCACTACCACCATCCTGGAAGGACAATCCCCGAGACAGTGGCGAGGGTGACACCACCAGCCTACGCCTGCTCTGCAGTGTGATCGGTGAGGCTGCCAAGACCCGCCATGCACGCGAGCGTGCTCCCTGATGGGGCCGGGATGGGCTGCCTCAGTGGTACGCAGCTCCTGGAAGCTAAGGACAGAACAGGGCAGTGGAGAGGACAAATGCCTGCAGGATGCAGACCCCAGGCTTACAGAAAGGCAGTATGCTCACCCTTGCTTTCTGTTACAGGGGGGACAGCCCAAGCCCAGTGGGAAGACATAACAGGCACCACGAAGCTGGTCTATGAGAATGAGTGTGCAAACTTCACCACCAATGTGTCTGCCAGGTGAGTCCTAGGCAAGCATGTGCTTGTCTTGCGGACATCTGCTGCTCTTCAGGCCCTCTTGGGGTACAGCCTGTGCCAGGAGAAGCTTCCTGCCCCCGTGTTCATTGTGGTGCTCCCCCATTCTCACATGTAGGCCAGTTCCCTCCAGCCTTGAGAACCCCCCGCTGCCTTAGCATTCCCCAGGAAAGACAACTGGGTGTGCAGAGGGAAGGGGCCATTCTTTCTGCTTGGGTGTGTCACCATCACAGACGGGTCTGCTTCTGTACCCAGAGCTCCTGGGACACCACCTGTGGTGCAGTTTGCTGATGGGAGCAGCACCTCTGGTGCCACTGGGGAACCTGCCTGGCAGTGCCCCAACCCAGCCCTCCTGCAGGTTCTGGCTGGCAGACTGCCCGCGCACAGCCGAGGCCGTGCACTTCGCCACAATTCTGTACAAGGAGCTGACAGCTGTGCCCTACATGGCCAAATTCGTGGTGTTTGCCAAGATGAATGATCCACGGGAAGGGCGGCTGCGCTGCTACTGCATGACTGATGATAAGGTTGACAAGACTTTAGAGCAACATGAAAACTTCACTGAGGTGGCCCGCAGCAGGGACATTGAGGTTTGTCCCCAGAGCATCTGTGGGGGATGGCAGGGAGAGGGCTGCCAAAGTGAGGGGAGACTAATACCAGTGGAGGGGCCTTGGCCCAGGGAGGGGAGTTGGGGTTACCTGCCCTGTCCAAGAGCAGGAGAAGCATCTCTGCACAAGTTCTCAGCCCATTTTCTCCTCCCTGACAGGTGGTAGAGGGGATGCCTTTGCACGTCGAGCTCTCAGGGAACCTGGTGCCTGTCAAGAAGGCCACTCAGCCCCGCACCTTCCTCTTCCAATCCTTCCGGGAGAACCGTCTTGCCATCCCCATAAAGGTAGTGGCAGGGTAAAGGTCTGGGCTGCAGGCGCGGCCCCCACACCCGCCCTGTGCCAGGCCACCTAACTGGGCTCTTGGTGCTCAGGTTCGGGACAGCAGCCGGGAAGCCAGCGGCTCCCTGTCTTTCTTGCGCAAGGCCATGAAATACGAGGACCTCCAGCACGTGCTCTGCCACCTGAACATCAGCATACCACCCTGCACCAAGGTCAGTGCCGGTGTGCTGACACCTCTGGGAGGGGTGGTGGGGGCCTGCGCCTCCCCACAGTGCAGGAGACAGCCCTCGCTGTCAGCTTTTCTTCCTCAGCTGCTCTGCGTGGACATACCATACTGCTCTGGAGCAATGGTGCCAGGGCAGAGCCGCCACCCTCTTTTCAAGCTGTTGACCCCTTGGTTTGTCCATGTTCTCACAGGGGAGCGGCAGTGAGGAGCGGAGGAGAACCCTGACGCCCCTGTCTCTGCGGGAGCGATACAGCGTCCTAAGCGAGACCAGTTTTGGTATGTAGCTGGCTGGGACCACTCAAGCCCGCTCACCACCTACGCTTGGGGTACCCAAGCATGGTGGAAAGGCTGGGCTGACCCTGTCATACTCACTGTCATGGCTACTTCCCTTGCCCTGAGAGTCTCCTTGGTCGTGCTCGCGTGGGGCTGCGAGGCACCCCAGGCCAGCACTCCTTTCCTCTCCCCACCCTAGTGCAGGGCCCCATGCACCTGAAGTTGTGATTCCCTTTTCTCCTCCAGGCTCTCTGAGCAGCACAGACAAGGCAGACCAGAAGATGGTTGACATAGCAGAACAGCTGGGCCTCAGCTGGGCTGGTGAGTCCACACCTGACAGCTCTGAGGATGCACAGCACTCCTTGGACAGCTGGCACTAGGAAACAGGCTGCAGGGTGGAGTGAACGTGCTTTACGGTGCAGTTGGTGTGTGTGTGGCCTGTGCTGGCTCCTCTGGCAGCCTGGCCTTGCCTCCCAGCGCTTCTGCTGAGCTGTGAGCACGCCCTGGCACTGAAACAAACCTTCCTGCAGCTGTGTGTGTACACACACCAGGCTAGGGCTGTGTTCAGAGTTGTACGGATTACTGCCGTTTGTGGAGGCCTGGCACTGTTCTTGCAGCCACACACCCAACATCAGTACCCATGCTTTTCCTTAGCATAAGATGCTGCTATGCTGGTCACAGCCAGTCTGGGCATAAGGGCTTAAACTTCTGCCCTGTCCCAGCTCCTGCTCCTGCATGTTCACCCATGTTCAGTTGTAGGTGATGGGGTGATCTTTGTGCTGGGTCTGGCTGAGCCCTTCACAACATCCCCAGCCTTTTTGGCTTGGCAGCTAGCAGTGGGTGCTAGAGCATGTGATGCTGAGGTGTGGTGTCTCCCCTAGAGCTGGCACGTGAGCTGCAGTTTGGGGTGGATGACATCAATAGGATACGTGTGGAAAACCCCAACTCCCTGCTGGAGCAGAGCTTAGCCTTACTCAACCTCTGGGTCAGCCGTGAGGGCAAGAGTGTCAAGAGTGAGTATCTGTGTTGTCCTGCTGCAGGCATGGGGGTGGTGGGGCTGGCTACGCGGAGCAGCGTGTGCATGCTCAGGGGTCTCTGGCTGGCTTTACACAGCTGGTTCAGTCACACCTGCCTGCCTGCAGTGTGTCTGGCCGTGGCTGTGTTCACCCGGAGACCAGTTTTCTGACAGCAGCTTCCCCCTGCAGTTGAGAGTCTGTACACGGCGCTGAGGAACATCGACCGCAGCGAGATCGTCAGCGCGCTGGAGGGCGCTGGGCGGCAGAGCCGCAGCCTGAAGGGCAGCTGGCGCTACGCAGACAGAGACTACTCCCTCTCTCCATCCCAGATGAATGGTGAGCCCCAGCTTCTAGCAGTCGCAGGAGGGCCCCGGGGCAGAGTCCGTGCAGACAGATGAAGGATGGTATCTCACCTGACCAGGGTATACCAGTAGCCTGCTGGGAGCTCAGTGGGCACAAGGTGTAGCCGACTGATGTGGCCTCTTCACTGGGGCTTGTGCTGCAGGAAGCTTGGCCCTGCCACGCTGCCTTCTCAGAAGCTCTCCAGGTGGTGTGGACACGTTCCTTATCCCAATATGGCAGAAAGAGGTGCCTCTGGCTGTGCGAGCCGAGCGGTGTCCAGGGAGCTCACAGAGCCCTGGCTGTGGCAGCGTGCCTGGGCTGGGTCCAGGTGGAACGTGCCTGGGTGCAGGGAGACCCACCGGGGTCACCTGCAGCACGTGCCATCAGGAAGCTGGCACACTGGGCAGGGTTATGGCTTTGTGCTGCTGCAGCACTGCTCTGTGCTGCTGCCTGTGCAGCACTGGCTCATTGCTCTCTCCCTCTCTGTTTCTCCCCTTGTTCTGCTCTCTCAAACATGCCACCTAGTGCTGTCAGGTGCGGGCACTCCTGTGGGTCACTTCTTTTCACCTCTGTCCTCTTGAGTTCATCCTGGCCTCTCCTTCTCTCATCTTCCTCCACTGCCTGTCTCCACTGTCTCCACCTCAGCTGAGCCCTCTGGGAGCTGTGCCCTGCTCCAGCAACTGCATGTCACCAGGGACTGCGCCTGTCCTGGCCTTCCTCTCCTGCACTGCCCTGAGCTCCCTCCCTTGCTGGCCCTGCACTGCTTGCCCCTGGCCAGGGACCCACACAGGGGACAGGTGTCCATTCTGTGCTGGGGGTGCCATGCCTCGGCTGTGGCTGGAACCCCTGGCTGCCTGGGGAGCAGAACAGGTTCTCTGCTGATCTCCAGGGGTGGAAAAGGGGTTAGTGGCTCAAGAGCTGAAGACTGAGCAAAGCCACCTGTGTGGGTGGGAGTGCCTGGCTTAGCTGTATTCTGTATTGATGTGCCTGGGCTGTGTGCGTGGCCATAGGTGACAAGGATGTGTAGTCTTGGAAACACCAACAGGGTTGTGGGACCCTGGCTGCATCTCACAGGGCCTTGGGGTTGCATGGCATACCAGAGCTATCCTTCCCTGCTCATGGTACTGCTTCCAGCCTACTCCTCTGTGCTGCAGAGAGGGACTGACTTTGGGAGTCAATGCCTGCCAGACATGGCCACCTGAACTCCAGGCTGAACCTCAGCCAGATGATGCTGGAGGGGGGCTGTGGTCAGGGACACGGGGACCGGTGGGGCAGAGTAGCAAAGAGAGCACTGTGTCTTGCAGTGTGGATGGGGCATCATGTGAACCCCAGACCAGTCCTACCTGCAAGGAGTGGGCAGCCCCAGGGTCTGCCCAAACCAGCCCCGTGACTTTGAAGGGAGGCCTGGCAGCACTGGCAGGGCCCAGGCAGAGGCTGCGGTGAGCACAGCCCTGCTCAGCCCAGCCGCCGGGGTCTCTGGCATGGCCATTGCTGCTGGTGGGGCAGGCATCCTCCCGGAGGCTGTTTCCCTTCTCGCCCCACTGCGCTTGTGAGACGGCTGCTCGAGATGTCGCCTCTGTCTGCCCATATAGGTTACGCTTCGCTGCAGGACGAGCTGCTGTCCCCTGCCTCCCTGCATTACACGCTGCCATCCCCGCTGCGTGCCGACCAGTACTGGAATGAGGTAGCCATCATGGATGCTATCCCCATGGCTGCCACCGAGCAGGACGCCCTGATGGAGATGTCTGACATGCAGGTGTGGTCCTCGGGGCTCACACCCTCGCTGGTGACTGCTGAGGACTCCTCTCTGGAGTGCAGCAAGGCTGAGGACTCGGACGCCACAAGTGAAGGCCGGTTCCTGGGGCAGCTTCTAGCAGATGCACATGGCCCAGACCACATGGGCTCTATGGACCTGGTTGAGGATGACACAGTGGACTCAGATGCCATGAATGGCCTGATTGACCTTCTAGAGCAGGAGGAGGGGCAGAGGCTACAGGGGAAGATACCCACCGGTGATCACCAGCCAGGGACTGGGGAACAGGACCCAGAGAGTGAAGTCTCTTTTGTTTCAGTTCAGCAGAAGGTGCAAGCCAGGATCACAGCATCACCTGCCATTAGCCATGTTGTGGAGAAGAGTACAGACAGGTACTGTGGCCTGGGGCGCTGGGGTGCCTGTGGGAGGGGAGCAGAACTGCTTTGCCAGCTATTGCCCTGTTCTGGGCCAGCTGCAATAGTCTCCCAGCTTTGCTTGTTTTTCTGCTGGTCTCCAGCTTTGGAGCTGGCACACACTCGACAGACAAAGCAGTGGCTTGGGTTGAGTGTCTTGCATCTCTCTGGAGATGCTACGGGGGAGTCCTTGCAGAGCACCCTGGGGGGTATCCCAGGCAGGCAGCCAGGCCCTGCATGTTGGTCGTGCTTACCAGAGCTGTCCCAGCCTGGGCTGCATCCTCCCATGTTCCTGGTGGCCCCGATCCCATGAGGTCCCAGTGATGCTCCACAGCATTGCCTTAAACCCTCACAGCCAGGCCATGAGGCTGTGGGGTGGGCCCTGGCAGGGAGGAGGCCTGTGCCCTTGTGCATCTGCCTTTTGTGCTGCTTGTGCCGGGTGCCCGGCAGTGCCAAGAAGCTGGGGAGCCCGATGCCTGGCGGGGTGCAGGCTGTGCCAGCGTGCCTCTTGGAGGTAGGCTGGTGCTCAGGGCAGCACTCCATGGCAAAGCTGACTGCCTCTCTTTCTCTGTCTCTCTCTCCCTGTCCCTCTCCGGTGCCCAGGCTGAGGGACTGGAATGCAGAAGGCTCCTTTATCTCCTGCCTACAGGACCTGACAGCGGGCTCCTGGCAGGAGGGGGTCACCCGAAGGCAGCTCCCGACGCACACCATGGCCTCCGGGCCTCAGGGCCAGGAGCAAGAGCAGGTCTTGGTGCCGGCCGTGGAGCTGATGCGGGTCAGCTCCGCAGAGGACAGCGACTGTTTTGCCCTGCAGGGGGCTGGCAGGAGGAGGCAGACAGACGCTTCTTTGGGCAGGTGAGGGTAAGAGCAGGGGGACCCAGCGTCCCACGAGGTGGAGGCGCTATGGACAGCCCTTTCCTGAGCCTGCTGCAAGGCCAGCTGGGCAGACCGAGTGCTAGCTGAGGCACAGGTCTCCTGGCACACCTCCTGTCCCCTGCCCCCGGGGGTGCCTCTCAGCCCAGAATAGTCTGCTGTGTTTGATACCTGAGCTCTTGCTCTCCATTTATAACCCAGCCAGCCTCCCTGCCTGCTTCCTTACTGAGTATCTGCCCTGGCCGCTGGCCCAACAGCCTGCTGGAGCCAGAAATAGAGCTGGTCTGGGGGCCAGGCTGGGTGGTGGGCATCCTGCCACCTCCACACAGAGCCAGCAGGTACAAGGAGAGGGCAGGAGCCTTTCCCCAACCGGGGCACACACAGCCATCCCAGCGGCACGGCCGTGGTTGAAGGCAGTTGCTCAGCTCTTCAGCGTGTGTGTCTCTTGAGTCAGGTGCCATTCCAGTGACACCCCGAAGCCCTGGCTCCTGCCCAGGACTTCATTTGTCCTGTGACAGAAGGAGGACTGCATGCTGCCCTCCCACCACAGCCAGGAAAACAGGTTGTTGGCAAGCTGACTGAGAAGGGGGACAGAGCTGCCCCGGTTACAGCTCGGCTGGGGACGGGCGGTGCTGTCACGGTCCCGGCCCCATGACTTTGACAGGAGCTGTGAGCGCAAATTTCGCTCCTCCTGCCCGCTCCCTTCTCGCCGCCCACAGC